TTACCAGCTATTGATAAACATGACTAGTCCCTGAAAACTGTAGGGTTGCCACAGTCAGGGAGAACCGGGAAATGTCAGGGAAAATTTGTTAAATTACCTTCATTTGCTTTCTGGAATGGGTTTGAGGTTTTGAACAACAAATTTTGTCTGAAAACTCTTTTCGGGTTTGAGGTTTTGAACAACAAATTTTGTTTGAAAACTATTTTCAACGATGCCTTTTTAACCATCCGTCACATCTTCATTGTCAGGGAATTTTGCCAAAATGTGTCAGGGAATTTTATTTTCTAAATTCTGTGGCAACCCTGGAAAAGTCAGAAATTTTACTTTTGAACCTTGAATTTTTATTTCATCCTATGAAGACATTCAATGGTTCTTACTTCACTAATGCTCTCTGTCAATTCGAATTTTGTACAAAACAAATCATTTTTTTACAAATCATATTTATTGTTCCCCTTTCACGAGAAATTGCAGTAAAACATATCATGTCCAAAGTTTTTTAATGCTAAAATTCCAGAAAATTTGTAGAGAAAATTCAAGAAATGTTTTATTCTGAAACCTCTAAGTATCAAGAGAAAATCAAAGGTTTAAAAGTAAGAAGAAACATGAACAATTGAGAAATTGTGTTTTCTAATGTTACCCCGTAAATTTAATGCAATTTGTTTAGTTTTAATGTTAAACCATGTAGATAGATACAAGGAAATACTTGTAGTAGTCACGTAAGATTTAAATAAAATTCCTTCGAAAAAAAGAAGAAAAAAAATTGAGAAAAATACTTTTTCTGATGCCTACTTGAATAGCGCCCGTGAATTTTCAGTCATGTTAGGAACAAATGAAGAACGAAGATAGAGGAATAAAAATTTTGAGGAAGAGGAATGTTAGTAATAAGTGGTTTATTTTTTTGATCAATGTATTTTCCTATGCTTCCCTTCTTGCGAATGAAATATTTTTATCTTAAATCCTCCTCTTTTTATTTCCTTGTCTCCAGGCTGATCTTCAAACCAAATTGAGCGAAGCCGAATCAAAATTAGTCGTCATTGATTTCTTCGCAACATGGTGCGGGCCTTGCAAAATGATTGCTCCAGTCTTGGAGGTTTGTATCCATATCTTTCATCATTTTCAATTTTTTCTTTGATTCACTGCCTTTTCTTCTCTGTTAAACTCAAATACCTAAGTAGTTGGTCATAATGTTTACGGCATCGATTGATCACCCTCGCTCATATATTGATAACATGGCCACTTCAGACACTGAGTTAGTTCTCGATCTAGTTGCAAGGTTTGAAATCAAAATAGAGAAAAAATCTGTGTGGAAGAGGAATATTTTTGTTTTCAAGTTTGCCTCAAGTAACAATGGCAATAATAAAAAGTAAAGTACTGCGAAGGCAATTGTTTTTGTTACAATGTCCAGTTCTAATCGAGGGCACAGATTGTTCCTTTATGCCGCAGTGCTAAGGAAAAACGCCGTATGAGTCTTCAGGCGTTGTCAAATTTCCCGTAGCAAATTATTAATTTGCAGGAAAATTTTTGAATATTCATCTACCAATTTCTCAGATAATTTTGTTTGTAATTTGATCTAAAGTGTCTGAAAATTTCAAGAGAAAATATTCTTAATTTTCCTCAAAAATAAACATTTTATCAAAGGAAATTTGGCAACTCTCGAATGGTTCATACCGAGAACATTATCAATCCTTGCATGGGAAATACAGGATTTACTTGAACGTCCGTTACAGTTAGTGACGTCCGAGTGGTGGAATATTTCTAGAAGTGGCCGTCGGCCGAAGATCGGGCGTTGGGGTTGTTGCGTTTGCACGCGCGGCGTCCGGTCAGAAATCGCGGCGACGGGGGTCCCTCCCAGCACCCCGGGGGTTGGGGCGAAGCGCTCTAATGAAGCCCAAAAGACGAGCGACTCCCATGTGTCGGGGCCTTGCTGTTACTTTCACGGCCCTCCTTAGACCCCGAGACCAATTTCGAAATTTTGCGGTTGATTAGAGCCCCGAAGAATGGGCCAATCAGAGCCGTGACGTCACCCGGCCCCGGGGATGATGGACACCCGCGCGGGTCCGCGTGGCCTCTTCGGATAGGCCCCCCCCCCCGCCTCCCCCCTCGGGTTTTAAAAGATAGCCCACCTCGCAATTTTAGGGGTGGGTTTAATGGAGCATTTGCAGGTGTCTGAAATTTGATGAATTTCGTATTTAAGTCTGAACTACTGAGTGAGCTGGACACAAGGATGCCCTTGGTTCATGAATTGAACAATTATTGTGGAAAATATGACAAAATGATCTAATCTGCAAAAATACGTGTGTTTAAATGGGAAATGCTGCCAGATGACGTCACTAGGCGGTGCATTTTCTCACTTTGAAATCTATTTTCATGCTATTTGCCGTATCAAAAAAAAGTTATAAAAAATACTGTGAAATTAGCTCTTTAAGCACTTTCAGATGAGACATTAAAAAATTTGCATGCAAATGCTCCATTCATCGGTTGGATGGTGGGCGCTGCAATGAGCCTGTTGCAAACTTCAGTTGGAGCGAAAATAACAGATTTCACTGGAGGAAAATAGCTCAAAAATGCAATGAGCACACCGACAAATTCGAAAATGGACCATTATACACGATAAAAATTATACACCTACGTACTGGAAAAAAAGTCTCTTTGATGCAGAGTCTAAACTCTTGAACAAGTAGACAAGAAAGAATATTTTTGATTCAATCGAATTTTTGCTTGCTTCACCATAGCTGTGTGAGATCCAACTAGATTCAATAAATATTTATACCTATTTGAACCCTTCACTCAGGCAGTTGAGGTCATCAGTCAGCTTGGTACTTGTCTGAGTTTGGCCTTGCTGATATCTGTATCGTTAAAAATGACTTGTTGAGGAAGGGTCACAGCTTCTATCATTAGATCTGTCAATTATCAAGTGAAAGTTTTTACTTGTATTCCACCATAGGTATTTCATGTCGAGGATGTCGTGTCTATGTGTGTGTGGGAAAACGAATTGAATTTTGATGACAGTAGGTAGAACTGATCTCTACGAAATGGAAAATCTTCTCTTTTTAAAAGTATCATTTTTGTATTTATCTCTTCCGAGTGGCTTTTTATTTTGTTTTGTCAATGCCTAGTTGTAAATTTAATTAGCTTCAAAATTTTTCACCTTGAATTTTTTACTTAAAAACCACTTTTAAAGTTTTGAACAGAATAAAGATAGGTCTAGAGGGACTGAAAGAGAAGTAGAAAAAGTATAATTGAAAGAAATTTCGAAAAAAAGAAAAAAAAAGTTGTCCTCAGCCCCTCAGTTCAATCCTAAGGCTGTCCTAAGCATGTTACAGGATCTTAAGGTAAGCTTTCCACAGACAATACAGGCAAGCCAGGTTACAGAGACAGAGGAGTTCACGTTGAGCAATTTTAAATTATACTAATGGATATACTTCCAATCTTTTGAGATTTACTTATATTTTTTTTTATTATGTTCTCAGGAATTAACAAAGGAATTCCCCAACGTTGTATTCCTCAAGGTCGACGTTGACGAATGTGAAGAAATAGCCGCTCAGTATGAAATCACCTCCATGCCTACCTTTGTCTTCTTGAAGAACAAGAACAAGGTTTGTAATTAGTTTACACTTAGCCTTTAAATCAGAGTTTGTCTCAGTTGCCCTCAATTTCAATTTTTAAATTTTGGAAAGTACCTTTATGCTAAATTGTTGACATTTTTCAATCTCTACTATTAAAATAGCAACTTTAATTCCCTTTTAAAACTATTGCAAGAATTTTGATACTGAAACCTGAATTCATTCCGATTCCTAAGTATTGACGCATTTAGTGATCAGAAAATAGCTTGAGGAGTGCAATTTCTCAACACAGTCCACCCTATCACGTTTCTGAAATTCTATTCCTTGTGTTTCTGTTGATTCTGGTTCACTCTTCTATCATTTCTACTTTCCACTTTTCAAATCATAATTTTACCGAATTTCTTTTTTGCTGCTCAAGCCTAAATTCTTACATTGTCATGTCTCTTGCAAGTGTGTATAAATGCGTGGAAGGCAAGGTAATATCGAGGTTTTTGGAAACTCCCTAAAATTTAACTTCTGATGGCAAACTGTACTCAATTCCATTCCTATGACCGGTAAATTTGTTGATTTCTGGAGACAAAGCTGGCTTTCATCATCAGAGAATGATTAAATGTGTTAACTTTTAGATGTTCAGACTTTTGACAAATGCCCGTTAGAATATAGACCAATTACTACTTTTTTTTTATTTTCTCTACTTTCATATTATATGCTTGTTGTGGCGACGGTTAGACAAAAAGGCTTTAACCTCAGGCATGGGAAGAGAACAAAGTAGTATGTTGAATTAAAAATCTCCCTTTGTAGTATGATTGATACTTTTCATTTATGAGTAATTATTTAACTTCGTTTTCGATTTTAGGTGGATGTTTTTGCTGGTGCACACGCAGAGAAAGTGAAGGCCACAATTCAGAAGCACGCCTCCTCTTAGAGTAAATTTGATTTTAAGGATGTTGGTGTACATTTCACCGTACGTGTCCATGTCTGCGCATCAACTGTACTTTCAGCAGTAGGACAGCATTTACCACACACATGGTTTTTATTGATCACATGTTTTTAATCATTCTCTCTTCTATTTATTAACTTTTTCTATAAGTGTTTTTTATTTACCGGGAAACATGCTCGTGCGCCCAGCTACAATAGTACCCTTGAGTTTTCAAAAAAGGTTACGGGATTCGCTTTTAGCTTTTGAATATACCCATTCGTACATTCCTCAATCCACAGCTGTCTGTACACAATATTTTTTTTTCTTTCACCTGTCTCACACTTAACTACTCTGTATTTGTTCACTTCTAATCACCATTACACATTTTTAATCCAGTTGTTAGACATGAGTGTTGTCTGTGTGTAGTTTGTAAAATTACTTTTAAATGTGCTGAGCCGGACTCAAATTTTACTCTTCACAGTATTAAACCTCCAAATTTCCTCCCATCCCCTGTAAGAAACAGTTGCTGTCTGCAGGTTTAGCGCAATGAATTGTGGTTGCTCTGTTCGTACCAAAAATAGATATTGTTGAAGAACTATTACTTATCTTACTTGTTTATAATAAATTATTTTGCTACGATCTGTCTACCAGTCTTGGATTTCTGTTCTACTTCCCGTACCCTGCTTGAAACAGCAACCATACCATCAGTAATAGACCTTTAAACCAGGCAACTTGTGATCAAATGACTGAAAAAGTTTATTAGCTGAAGCCCGCTTGACACATTCTAGCTTTTCTTCTAACTTCATTGGATGAAAATTTTTACTGAGTAATTCATACATAGGGAAAATTTCCAGGGTGTCTAGCGGCCGGAAAATGTCGGAATTTTCTTTTCTGTCAGGAAATCCGCAAAAATTTGGCATGTCAGGGAAATTGAAAAACACTGATTTCTTTGGTTGAAAATTGATGATGAATCAAGTCTCAGAAAAATGGAATCGATGCCAAAATTTTTACCAGAATTACTGCTGACGTCTTTAAAATTTTAAAAATGAAGGAAACCTATTTCGTATAGGTTTAGACACCACATATTTTGCTCTATTTATTACATTTTATATTTATATTCCCAAAGCATGTAATAATTCTTACGTACATCTAATCAGTTCTACAGTGTCAGAAAATTAGGAATACTTTCCCTCTTTGTCAGAGAGTTATTTCTTCTGTCTGTCAGAGAATTTTAAATTTTTTCCCAGTTTTTTGGCCATTCTTGTCCGGGAAGTATCAGGGAATTTTATTTTGGAAAATTGCTAGACACCCTGATTTCCATCCAAGAGAGTCCGAGATTTGATGAAAAATTGAACCATGTGAAATGGGCTTGAAAATAAATTAAAATGTTAGTTAGAAAGTAATGAATAGGAGCTTGGTTTTGTGTCACTACCTCCCGCATAAGAGGTGTAAAGTGAGAAGTACTCAACTCTTGCAAGGGACAAATCATCACAAATATCTTTAGGTTCATAGATTTTTCTTTAGCCTTAAGTGTGGACCATTCAGCAGAAAGGAACTAGCTCGATCACAGTATTTCTACAGTAGTGCAACTTCTTTTTTAAACAAGATTACAGGTGCGGAATTATGAAATGTATTCAATTATTTTCCCTTGAAATTAACGATTTTTGGTGGAACAACAAAAACTACTTGATACTCAAGACATTTATTTTTTGTCGACTAATAAGGCGCACGATTTTTATAAGTCGCATTGGTTCCCTTCTGGTAAATGCAATCACCGTAAAGTAAACATTCAGAGAGGATGCTCTCTAAGTAGCTCTTTTCAACCATGGTGTCTGGACCAGCAGGCTGATTGTTAAAATTGATAGACAAAAGGGATGTGGAGGAATCCTACTGGTGGAAGCAGGTTTTTGTAATGGACAGAGGGGGTAGGTAATAGACTAACTAATGGCAACCCATAAGGGACGCTATGTTAGTCCATCCTTTTCTTCCTTAGTCCATAGGAACCACCCATTTCAACCAATAGGATCGCTCCATACTTTATATCTTCTTTGTCTATCAATGTCAATGATCAGCTTGCAGGAAAAACAGAGTTCATCAGGGAATCTGTTCCAGAAACCCAAGGTACACTCTACTACAGGTATGGACAAACGGGGTGCCGAAGTGGCAGCGCTGAGAAAATCGGCGATCGAGTGACGTATGAAGTCGTACCGTCCATTTGCCGCGTATGTCTTCGCAGTCGTACTCTCGATGCTGTCAAATCTACGCGTTTTGACGACTTTCTAAAATTCCATTTGTCCATACCTGTAGTAGAGTGTACCTTGCCAGAAACCCAGGATCTCTCCTCCAACTTTTGGAGACAAATCTCTCGCCTGTACTTCTGAGATTACTTTTGCACCCACTATAGGTCCATGGGGTTAGGGGCACTCTGGCCTCAATTTTAACTTTCAAAATTTTGGTGCTGGTCGATTTTTAATCATGATGAAAATGAATCAATCCTTGAAACAGAAAAATGCTAATATCTCCTAAGCTGTTGGTCGTAGAGCAAAACGGAGCAGAGAGCCCAGCGGCCCTAAATCGTTGAAACTACTGCATGGTGTCTAGACCAGGAAAAATCAGGGCATCTTTTCTTCTGACGTCTAAAGAAAAAATCTCTTTCTTAGACGTCAATTGAATTTTCTCCAGGTTATCTTTTTACCTCAGTCTATTGTTGAACATTTGCGAAGGTAATAATGAGTTTATTTTTGTACGAAAACAAATTGTGAAGAGGAAATTTTAAGTAACTATCGTTATTAAGATCAAGAGTTCTTGACACCATGTTTTCAACCAACTTGGCTACTCGAAAATTTTTTAAATTTTTTTCTTTTACAGAGGACAATTTGTCACGAATAAATGAATTATAAAAAATAGAGCTGACTGTTTCCCTGCGTTTCTATGAGAAGAATTTACAAAATAATGAAAGTAAAGAAGTTTTAATGCAAGAAGGTAAATAACTGCAGAAAATTTAACATTTACAAAAGAGAATAGACCATTTAAAAGAATAAGAACACAACCTCAATTGAAAATAGTCGAGATTTCTTAAGAAAATTGTAAAAAAGGATATTGTCTTCCATGAGAAGCCTTAGCAGAGTGCCCAATTTGCACTGATGCTCCAATTTCTGAATGAGGACAAACATTAATCTAAATTTCAGCCGTTTACTAATCAATTTACTACAAATGCTCTGTTTCACCCAAAATAAAAACATTTTGGTTTTGCAGAGCAAAAATGGTTGAAATATCAAAGAAATGTAATTAAAATTAAAGGTACTGAAAAAATAGAATTCTAATTTACATTGATTACTAATTACAATTTTTTAATCTCCTCTTGAGTATTATGAACAGACCTTAATATAGATGTGAAATCCCTCGACTGTATCGCAGTAGGATGAATGATTAGCTTCCCGGAATTATGAACTGCATTTTTCAAGGGAACAAAAAGATAACTTACACCTTAAAGATTAACTTTGTTTTTACAGTAAAAAAATACTACAAATTTAAAAATACATGAATTATTAAAACTAAAGACTAATAAAATAAAATTCGAATTTACATTAAAAACTAGATTACAATTTTAGATCATTTCTGGAGCATTTTGAGCAGATCTTAAGAACGATGTGGAATCACCGAAGAGTTTTCTCTCGAGACTAATGTCCAGGTTCCTGGAAATTTTTCACCACGTTCTTCAATTTCTGTTCCGTGGAACCAATTTTGGCCTGAAACAAAAAGTAAACGATGAAACATAAATTCTTAACTGGTGATATCTGAGGAGCCAAAAAAAGTTAGAAAGGAAAGATCACATAGCTGATTAGAGTTATGAATATTTCTGAAATAACTTAAGAGTTCAATTCGGCATCAATAGATGATACAACTATTAAAAATTCATAAAACTGACAACATAGGAACTAAGCTATCAAAACAGTTTCACTAAAAAGTAGGAGCCAAAGGAGAACCCTTACCGATAGCTTGTATGAATTTCTGGAGCCGGCAAAATGAGCTATTTTCATGTGCGTTTGTTCTAAGGGCCAGCCAACCAAATGGGCAGGGACGTAGAAGGTAACAATAACAATGCTTCGACTTGAAACTTGCGCAGTTCCAATTAAGCTGCCCATAATGGACAACAATAGCAATGGCTTCCCCAGTTGAGAAAAAATAACTCTGATATGTCTCTCTGTTTTCCACCCTAAATACACCTCATGGTGAACAAAGGTGGGGTTGCGGCAGTCAAAAATGTTAATCACTGTGTTTTTCAAAGGGCAATATCTCTATTATTATGGTGCACAGTGAAGAAATTTGGCATTGATACAGATCTGATAATTTTTTGAAGATCTACAGGATTAACGATCATTACTTGATTCTGAGCCATGCACACCTGATATTTTTTGAGATTATTGACTAACTGAATTTTACATTGAAACTTTAACCTGTAATAATTTGATTTGAAAAATTAATTTTATTGAAAATTGACATTTTTATTGATTTGAAAATTAATTTTGATTCAAACCACTTGCGTCTCTCTCATAAATGACTCAGAAAAATGAGGCTCATATTTGGATTGCATTTTGGAAAAAAGGAACCAAGAGCAATCCAATGTTGCTAGGATTGAATGACTTAAATGCTTTGCAAAAAATCACAGAAATCATGCAAAAAATTAAATTTACAAAGGTGATTTTTGTCTTGAATTTATAATTTATAGGAAGTGAAGATAAAACTTTCTTAGATGATCAGTTTCTATTTGCAAGGTGAAAAAAGGTTGCACAATCTTAGCAACATTGGAATGCTTGTGGTTCCTTTTCGCAAAATGCAATCCATTTATCGTTAAAAAGCTCCTTTCCTTAGGAGGCCTCATATCGACGGTGAAACTACCAGACAACGTACCTTGTTTGTGGCTTTTAAAAATCTCCGCTTCCATTTTATTTTTTTCAAGGAGAACAATTCAATATCATTTCTTGATATTTTCACATAATTTTCTTAGCGTACAGAGAAAAAAAATACAATATTTCAAGAATTGACGTTGAGTAGTCTTCTGCTCAAAACATTAAGTATGACAGGAAGTCTGCAACGTCGCAAACCAAGATATGTGGTCTGGTAGTTAATTTCACTGTCCATATGGTTTACCTTGTGATTAGGGGAGGTTCAAAAAGATCCTTAACAAATCATCATATTATTAAGGTCAAATTTTGCCAATTTAAGTAAAATTCAGCAGTAAGTATAACTTTAAAAATGGATCCTTGAAGGGAATCAAAATTATTTGCCATAAAAAAAATACCTAGTACTAAAGAACATTAATTGCTGATTTGGTAAATTTGAAGATGGCTTCGCACCAACCTTGAAGTTGATTAAGTCATAGGATTTTTTCTTCCGTAATTTGTAGCTTTTGCAACAGCAATTCATTTTAATCCCTAGCAAGGATCCATTTCCAAAGTTTTTCTGCTGAATTTTACTCAAATTTGACAAAAATAATTGTCCTTCCATGATCTCCTCGAATCTCTGTTAGTCTCAATGTAGACTGCACAGGGTTTTCTACAGAGAGGAGCTGTTCAGGGAACAACCTGGAATACGACCCTGAGATGTTTTCAAAGTAAGGAGACTGATTGTAAAATGGGAGCCCTAAGAACTTTTGGAATGTCTATGCCATCTCACCTCTGTTTTCCTGACAAATTCTTCAAAGACGGCTTTGCACGTAGTCGAATATTCCAAGGTTTTCTTTTCTATGAGCTTGACATCAGCAGTGGCATTTTCCAAACTGAAAAGAGAAAAAATGTAGTCAGAATTTGCACAAAAAAAATCACGGAACAATACTTGTACAATTGAGCTGAGCTACAAAGGAGCCTGCAACAAAAATCAAAATAATTTAAAATATCAGACAATAGAGAATTTGCATGCAAATTTTTTATTGATTCATCTGAAAATGCTTAAAGAGCTGACTTCACAGTATTTTTTATAATTTTTTTCTGATATGGGAAATAGTATAAAAATAGATTTAAAAGTGAGAAAATGCACCGCCTGGTGACACCATCTGGCGGCATTTCCCATTTAAACACATTTATTTTAGCAGATTAGATCATTTCGTCACATCTTCTCCAATAATTGTTCAATTTATAAACCAAGGGTATCCCCGTGTTCAGTTCGCTCAGTAGTTTCCACTTAAACACGAAATTCATCAAATTTCAGACACCTGCAAATCCTCCATTGCGAGGAAAAATTTGCTTAACTTTCCTTAAAAATACATGTTTTACCTGGGGAAATTTGGTAACTCTCAAATGTTCATACATTGTTCTTCCTTGGCACTGTAGCATAGCAGAATTTAGATGCGAATTCCGAGCAAAATAAATTGGGCCATTTTTCTTAATTCAAAGACAAGCAGGAGCTTAAAAACTTGGAAAACTTTTAAAATGAATACAGACCCTACTTATGTTACAGCTTCATTCATTTGAATAAACCTGTGTTCATTTATTTTTATACAAATGGATTCATTCAGAGTCGTGGTCATCAAGAACCTCACCGCCTACGGTGTCCCAAATTTGAAACATCCAAAAAAATTTCTCGGATCATCGATGTTCGATGGTTTTATAGTGTCATTGTATTAAACATTTAATATCCCCAAATTTGCGTCAAATTGGATGATATTTAGTGCTGGCACTTAGTCGCACGATGAACGTGTCCGAGAGATAATGGGCGTTGAGAAGACGATTGTGCACGATATCATGACCAAGCAGTTGGTATGGTATGGGCATGTGCAGCGAATGGCTGATACCAGGTTGCCGAAGAAGGTGTTGGAGTGGGTCCCCCCAGGTAGGCGACGGAGAGGGCGTCCAGCCAAACGGTGGGTAGAGGGTATCCGTGAAGAGATGGAGAGATGCCAGCTTCCGGAGGATCTCTACCATGACAGATTCCTGTGGAGAATAGGCGTCGCAGAGCGCCCAAGCGCGCCGTAAAAGCGGCTCATACATACATACTTAGTCGCAGCAAACATTTTTGAGACTCGCCTTTTTAGCATTTTGGACGCAACTTTTAAAGGCAGTTAGCAGCGATTACAGGCATCAAATTGCTTTTTATTGTCACTTTGCATAGTATACTTACAAGTAATAATGTTTTTTTTGCAGTTGCAAACCTTAAAATTTTACTTCAAATCCCTTAAAATCGACAAATAACTCTATTTTTCGCTCTTAAGCAACTAGTCCAGGGCTTGTACAAAAGTTAAGGGAAAAAATCAATAAAAACCTGATTTTTGGCATAAGGAGTCCTTACGACCCCCTGAATCCCCCCAGAAAAGTCTGTATTGATAACGTGACGGGTTTGGAATTTGGGAGGGGGGGGAGGGAGGGTAAGTGCCCCAAATCGGTTTTGCGGACCAAAATACAAGAACGGTTGCTCACATCTTTACGAATGTTTAACTCAGTGACAACATTGAACATCGATGATCCTGAAAATTCTTTTGGATGGTTCAAATTTGGGACACCCTACTACCCATGCTCTTTATTAAACCTCAATGAACTGAGATGGTAGAGTTACGGATTTCAATTAATCAGAGACTGTTAGTAAATTGAAGAACAGGGCTTACTCTCTTCGCTTATTATGGAGTTCAAGCTCTAGGCTCTTGAGGTCTGGCATTTTTTGTAGAATGCTGTCAATTTTCTTTCGTAGTTGTTCATTTGAGACCGTCAAATCTTCGGTTGTTTCCCTCATCATCCTCTTGAAATCTTCACATTCTTTCTCTTTGGCCTGTAAAGCTTTGCTGATACTGCCAACTTCATCGTTCTCTTTGCTTTGAACCTCTTGAATCTGAAATCACAGGGTAGCAAGTACAGAAAATGTTGGAATTTAAAGTTATAATGTTTGCATACATGGTTAATATACAAGAATTACAGTTGCAAGGTTGCTACAGAAATTAGAAAACGAAATTTCCCAACATTTCCCAGACATAATTTAAAATAGTTTCCTCGCAAACTTCATTGTTTGAAACGTCAAACCCATTCTAGAAAGCAAATAAAGAACTATTTACAACATTTGACACTTCCATCATTTTCCCTGACATTTCAACGTTTTCTCTGATTGACCTTAATCGTAGGATTTTCCAAATCCCTGACTTTCTCTGACCTTTTTCCCCCAATGAAAAGAAACTTAAAAATAGACATAGCTCAGCGCATAAAATCATACGGATCGGTACAGGTTCGATTTTCCAAGGAAAAATTCACCTCAAATCAGGTGAGAGCGCCAGAAGGCTCAGTGATGAAGCTTTGTGAGACTATGCAAAGAATCACTATCTTACTCGGGAATTTGCGGCTCTTTGATATTTTGTTTTTCTCCCTGAATTTTCCTGGACGCTAGGCACCTCGAAAGTAACAGTGCGTAAGATCTTCATCCCTATTGAAAAAAAGTCACTTGAGAGGGGGAAAAAAGCACCAAATCCACAAAAGAATGATTGGCAAAGGTATGAGAATTCTGACTTTTTATCAGCTTGAAAATATGAGCAATTTGAAGATCCAGGATCAATTTTGAAGGAGTCAGCACCCACCAATATACATCGGACAGAATGTTACGAACTGTATTTAAGAAAAAATTAATGCATGTAGCTCCCAAAATTAGTTTTCAGCAACAAAACGAAGTTTTAACATTTCTACATTCGGTACTTCTTCAACATCACGACTTTTTGCTCCTCTATTCACGAAAAAAATCTTGCAGCTTTACTTTGGACAGTTTTTTTTAGAAAATCCAATATTTTACTGTAAGACAATCATTGCTCTTGGTCTTTAACTCTATCTGGTAGATAATTGTCTTTAAAAAAAAAAAACAGAATTAAATGAACAGCTACTGTGTATTCCCTGTTTTCAGGAGTGGCCTTGACTGTCTTATGGGGATCAAAACCAGTTTTCACAGAATATATTTACATACAAATGCAGGAAATTTTTCCCCAAAAGTAAAGAACTAAAACTTCACAGTACTAAAAGCTTCAACTTACATTTATAGCTTGATCTCGTAAACTATCGAGCTCTAACGTCATTTGAGTTCTCAAGTGCTTCAGCTCGGCTTTCAATTCTTTCAGAGTTTCATCGACAGCTTCAAGTTCCTCCGCAGCTCCTAGTTGGAGAATATTCACATCTATTCTGGCTTTTTTCAATTGTGGTATATCCAGTGTGTTCATCGCAACCAATTTGTTGTACTCCAAAAGGGCAGCATTCAACTGGGAAACCAAAGAGAAAATATTCAGTAAAAACATGACAAGGTAAAGGAAAAAGAGACACAAGGAGGCGCAAGCTCAAGGTTGCTTAAAATCTGTCTCAAAATTTTCAGAGACCAAATGATTATATTCTACCCTTTTTTGGGTCAGTTAAACTCGCGATCAGTTAGGCTCTGCAATCTGCAAAACGTAAAAAAGAGCATATTTAAAGGTAATGGATTCGCGGTCAATTTTTGATTTCTATTAACTGTAGAGCGGAAGCAGAATTTAAAAATCTATAGCACTTTGGAAAACTGAGAGCACAGCAGTTTTAGCGCACGAAGAAGTTTGAAAGTAGTTTGAAATTGGCAAGAAGTTTGAAATTTATATAATACTTGAAAATCGATCATCGTAAAATTCATGAACTGGCAGCAGGGTATCACATTGTAAAATGGCAACGGTGTGTTAAAAATAAAAAATATATACACTACTTTGTTGAACATTTTAATTGTTTTTCTAAAGACCTAAATCATTTTTTTAAATTCATAGTAGCCTGGAAACTGAGAAAATCTAGTTTTTAGTATACATGGCCTTGTAAGTAACAGATGTGACAAAACTTACTTTTTGGCGAGCACCAACAACCTTTAAATCCTCAGAGTACACGATTTTTGAGTACTCTTCCAGACATCCATTTTGATAGGCAATTTCTCGTCGCAGATCGGCCATTTCCTGAATCATCACCTCCTTCTTCGCAACACTCACACATTGCTGCTCTATTTCAGCTTTAGTTTGATCAATTTCCTGTTGTAATTCTCGGATTTCTTTTTCTGCAGATCATAGGAGAGAAAATACATTGGTACAGTAATTTTGTTGGGAGACTCAAGAATGAACCTCTGGATAACATGAGAATGTAAGTCCTGTAAGATGTGTTCTCTCATCAAAACCTCACACAGAAGACGTTGAACTTATTTAAAATGCCCAATACTACCTTAAAAGGGAGAAATTAGCATTTACAGTTTACATTAGAGTTGGGCTAGGTATCCGGCGATTATCTGGATAGCCGGATACGATTTTCGCGGGTATCTGTATCAGGCTGGATAATCACGCTATCCTGCTTTTAGACCCCCTGGATAGGATTTTTTCTGCCGTGAAAATCTCGATAAATTTTTGATGATATTTTGGTGCTTTTTGGCGCACTAGTCAACTTTTCGAAACTTGTTATTACCGGAATTAAGTGCATTTTCCACAGATTAATATGATTGCAACATGATCCTTAATTCCTCATGTCTGCGTTTTTCACTTCCAAAAACGAAAATGCAAGTGGAAGAGACAAAAAAACCAATGCCACCGACATGTGCATAAGTTCCCCTTTGATAACGCTTTTAACTCAAACGTAACTCCGCAATTATTGTAATGTCGCAGAAGTTTGTAATCGCAGTATCGAAATAAAGGCCAACTAAGTTGGTGATCGGTTTAAAAATCTATTTCTCCTGTTCGCTCAGAGATTCTCATTAACAGAGATTAACCAAACAACTTGCCGTCAAGACAGACTTTGAAATGCTGCAACTTTTGACCGGCAAGCGGTGACGGTGCTCTCAAAAGTATGAGGTTGGCAGCGCTGTTTTTCACTTTTGTCTTGTGTACACTTTTGATAATATCTTTCTGTTTGCACATTGTGGCCCATCACACCGTGAATCCGATGAAAGCTACGCTGCTCATCTGCCAGGTAATTTCTTTTTTAATTCGTTTCAGCGGGCCGACTCATTGCAAGTCTTAGAAAAATAAGGAGCTTGCCGGTACGAAGGCACCCACATTGTGGATTACGATCTCGATGTTCTAATACACAGTGTGCCTTGCGCGAAATTGGGATATTTTTTTCACGCGAAAAATCACTTTCTGGATAGGGTATTATCCGGTTCCGGCCGGAAACCTCGTCGAGTTATCTGGCTCTGGCCGGGTATAAAAATTGATATCCGTACCCAGTGACGCAAAAAATCCATTTCCGCCGAACTCTAGTTTACATTAGGATCAGTCGCTTTGAACACTCTGCCTCTGAAAAGATCAAGCTTCTGTGGGTTTTGTACTAATCTTTCGTATCTCCTCATGTATTGTACTTCTCAATTTATTGAAAATACTTTGTCTCCTTGTGGTGAAAGTATCAAAGGCACACAAAACTTTCAAACTTGTCCAATTTTTCACTGAAAAACTTATTAACAGAATCACTTGAAAATTTAACTTAATATTTTTTTAGCCATAGAGATTAATCCCGGAACTTTCCATGAAAGGATATGCTAAAGTTTTGAAAAAAATTCAATTTTAAGAAAAAAGTCTGTGGTTCTGAGGCAGGTGATAAAGAAAATATATTTCTCCCGAGTTTTACTTTAGGATGATTCCCGGTATGATACCGAGATGCATTCATTCATAAGGATTGGGTGTCCATTGTTACAGATTTAATATTAGAATGATACAAACCTTGGGCTTCTCTAGCGCTTTTGATGTCCCCTATTTTATCGTTCAAATCTGCCAGGTATCTGTTATTGCCTAGTTTATGGTCTTTCAATTTCTTGAAATCGCTTTCCAACACCTGTTTTTGAGATTTCAATTCCTATGAAGAAAAAAGAAACACATTTTATTTAAGAAGTTAAAAAAAATTGTGTAATTTTGTTTGGAACCTACGTTTGCCTAAAAACGAGGTTTGTTTGTAGCATATCAATGGCCGAAGTGTGAAAACATGTTTTTCTATTGCTGTGTTTCAAAATTTCTACTCCGATTTTAATTTTTTGAAGGGAAACAAGCCAACCCCATAGCTTGAAATTTATACAGAATGCTCTGCTAATAGAAAAGAAAATTAAGGAAGTTTTCCATAAGTTACGATAACTATTTTTCCAAAGAGGAAATATTGAGTATGACAGGAAGTCTGCAACGTCACAAATGGAGAGACGTGGTTTTGCATTTTGGCCATCGATAAAAAAGACTTCCATTAAGAATAAGAATCAAAGAAGAGATTAGGTAGATCAGTAGTTTGGGCAAACCAAAAGAGTGAAATAAAGAATTACCTCTAATTCTGCTAACTCAGCGAGATTCTCTGGACTGTTGAGTTCTTCATCTAGTGCCTTCACTTCGTCTTGCAAAGCATCAAATTCTTCTACACTGACTCCTTCATGCTCCTCTGAAATAAAGAGACAGAAAATATTGAAATAGATGCAGGATACTTGTACAACAAATACTTAAAATATTAGAAGATAAAGCGTGTGATGAGGAAAAGTCAAGGCTGACATGAAGTGAGTCTTACAATTTATAGCAGAACAAAAACTGCTGCCATATATAGTCCGTAAATTTTTTTCATATTGATTTAGAAACAAATACAAATATAATTATACAAAGAAATAAACACAGAGTCATTTCTTAATCTGCAGCTGTCAATCTGAGAAAGATTTTATGCCGATAATAGTGGCTGCAAGTTCATAAATGAACGCTATATGCCAAAGGCAATTAAAATAATCGACTCTTTATAAGATTTGAAAATGATGGTTATTGAAAAATTCTACTGCAACTTCCGTAGAGTTCTAAACTTCCACTTCAGTTTTATAAAACCACAAATCTATAGATTTATAAAACTATAAATAAACAGTATCAGGCAAAACCAATGGGAAAAATCCTGCTACTTCTGATAACTGCTTACATGTCGAGGATTCACTGATCTCCTACGTTTTGTCTGTATACTTCGGTTTCTTTTGTTGAGTTCTATTATTTCAAATTGGAAGAGTATTTACGAAAGGGTAACACAAGAATGAGAATACTTACTGATATTTTCTAGAAGCTGCTCTTCTAACCGGGCGATCTCAATTTCAGAATTAGGTTTAGTTTGAAAAGCATTGAAGGACTTCATCAAAAAAGGTAGAAAAAGCTGGAACAAAGAGACAAAGTTCACTAAAAATTCCTTGAAAAACTAAAAATGTTCTTCTACATTTACTTGCGAAGATGTATATGGACCATAATAAGCAGGATTTTTAATGGAAAATATTAAATGAATTAGGGACAGTTCAAAGCAAGATCATTTGTGGCCAGGAATTTTTGAGAAAAAATGTTTTCCTTATTGATTTCAATCAAACATAGACCAAAACAGCAAATTAAAAATTGATCAAGCGCTGATTTAATACAGTAAGTGAGAATCTATTAAAAAAAAGAGGAGACATATGACAGGAGGAAAAATGAAGAAACGCTTTTTCGAAAGTCATCATGATTTGTAAATTTCACTTGTGCGTTAATTGCCAATCCTGAGCGCAATGATCAAGCACACTCAGGATGTCAGAGGATGGAGCTGACAAAACACGTACACAATGTTGACAATTTATACGAAAGTGAGTTCTTATTTGCGTGTTTTTGAAATTTTTCTTGTGCAGTTTTCCTTACTTATTTTATTAATTTTGTTTGCTGTCGCTACTGCTTATACTTTATTTAGTTTTTTTGTATTGGGAAAGTTCCTGTCAAAATTTAACGAATGAATGAATGAATGAATGAATAAGTAGATAAGTCTGCTTTTCAATTTGCACTGATTCCTATCTTGGTTGGTTGCATGCTCATTTTCTTTTTTTTAATTTTTGTTCCAGTTGAGAATGAGCATGAAATTGGCCGGAAACGTCCTGGTTGCGATTATTCTATTTTCTTAGCCTTGTAAACCAATTTGTTTTGTGTTTAATGAGTTTTTATAGTGAGTAAATAAATAAATAAGCCTCAGTTCAAAAAAATATGAGATTGGTCGAATTATGCTTGTAACCAGCTGAAATATTGCAACTTATTCAAAGATTACTATGACGAACCTTGAAATCTATTGCAGGTTCAGATCCATCTGTGGGTTGATCCTCGACAAAGTCCTGATAAAAAGCTGGCATGGGCTCGAAATCCTCGTAAAGTTCATTCACTTCGACTAACCATTGGAGAAGTCCCAAAACATGAGGCCAAGCATGAGGTGTGTTAACTGCCACAGAAAAATGAAAATCAAACTTCGGTCATTTAACAAACACCAAAGGTTGCAAATGATTTATTCCTTCCGACAAAAACTGATCGACAAATTTACTTGAGATTCCCGGTGAATTTTTTGCACAATCTAAATTGGACGTATTTCTGCCAAACGGAATTACTGATGAGTGGAAAAGGAGGAGTACGCTCCAGAAAGATGGACAAGAGACAATGTTAAAGGGAGCGTGATTTCCTTTGAAGAAATGGAAAAGCAGGATTTTACATTCTGTCCAACGGAACTATGTGCCAATTGTATGTCAACTCATGAGCCAAGGCCATGCATCTAGAGCCTTGTGCACAGGGCTCATGAGTTGATGATTTCGCGACGGGGCATCTTTGCTCTCAACGTTGCTTTTGACGTCACTGGCTCTTTATAATTCCCATTCATTTTTGCGGCCCTTGACTAACGAGCACGCCTTTTCTTTCCCACCTGCCTCTGGTTCTGTTTGGCAGGAATCGTCCAAATATTCGCAGAAAATTTGAATGAGATATTTTGTTGAGCTTTTTTAAAAAATAATAATAATACATTTTCCGAGATTTCCAAGCACTGCAATAAAAATGTACATTTTTTCAACTTTGACCACTGATATGTAAGATTCATCATGGAATTTCTGAGAAGGAGGTACTGACAGTAAATTTTGAGATTTATTTCTTCCCTTCAAAAGTTATCAAGTTTTACAACATCATTGTTAAGTCTTTCGTGAGCCTCCTCACCTAATGCATCATTTGCTTAAAAACTGCATCTCTTTATGAACAGTCATTCCAAGTTGGAAAGTAGGAAACCAGAAATTTTGGTTCTTGAACTAGCTATATATTTTTTTCAACTCACCATTTTTTAGCTGGTATAAGGTATAGTGATTTGACTCAATTTCTTTCAAGAGTGATTTTATGCAAGAGAGATCATTTTTACGAATCCGACATACTTTACCTCAAATGAAAAAGGCAACAAAAAAAAGACCTGTACCTGTTTGGAGCCAAGATTTTTCCACTTTGCCACGATAACCAAAGCGTTTTGTGAATGTGGGAAGCCTAGTGATGTAATCTGATTGATCAACCATGGCTGTTTCATCGAAGACCTGGAGCAGGATATTGACAAGATCTATGAACATTGCAGTTGTCATCGGTTTTATACTCGTACGTTTCTCCAATACCAGTGGACCTTGAGGATGCCTCAAAAAGAACTGTGTGACCTGAAAAACAGAAAATTTTAGTTTGAACCTCATGGTAATTATAAGTCTAAAAAACAAAAAAACAAAGTGAGAGAAAATTTAAGCGTTGGGAGCAGAAAGGGGACTTTTCAGTTCCGGTGTCTCAGAATTGCATTTCATCCATTATGGTCAGAGCGAATGTATGCAATTCGTTGAAACTTTTAATTTTACTGAATTCTCCTCATGATTTCACAATGCTCCAAACGAAAAATTTTAGGAAATTTACCTGATACATGGCTACAGTTTTCATTTTCCCTAACAATTAGCACACATCTCTCTTTTGCATCATTTCTTTTTTCAGACAGTCTGAGAAAAGAATCATTGGTGAATTCTTATACTTTCCATCTTGTTTATAATATGCGTAGTTTCAAACTAGTTACAATTCTACTTGAAATTAGGAGATTTAAATTACCCTGTACTGATTCTTAATCTAGTACACTTTTCCAACATGTTCGATTTTGGCTACCTTCAACCTCCTTTTTGGCATTAAAATCTCTGAGGTCTTCACACTCTTGGAAAAAATCAACAGTTGGAAATTTTTTCTCTCAGCAGTTTTCACAGGTACAGGACAATTTATACATTGGAAATTTTGAAGTCGGTATTAACTTCAAACATTTTTGATTGGACATATTAAACCTCCATCAGACATTCCTAACAAGTACCGCCAAAATGGATCAATTTCTGAAAAAGCAGACAAAATTATTTTTTAAAAATCATGGAAGATATCTTCCAAATACCTACTTGACGCTGAGCTTCTTGTTGAAAAGTTTTGTCTGACAAAGGTCTCATATCTCTGCGCGAAGATTTGGCACCAATACTGCTCAACCTGCTTTGATCAATACTGCCATGGCTAGGTCTGAAAAAATTTATTTTGAAATTTTAACAAAAGGATAAAATTCAGATCGTAAAGTTATGATAATTATTCTGTTATCCTATCTAGCTAAAGTAAATCAAGAGGATAAGGCCTTTATTAAAGTCAGCTGCCATTTTCCGAAGACATTTTGCGAAGAAATTTGTTTGTTTGATGCTTTCAGTTTTGATAGGCCAAATGATTTGGATTAATTTTACTTTTAAATGTCTTCAGCTAATTTTTCATGATTTGATAATCTACCATAGACAACTCTGCCATGCTAAGCAAGAACGCCATAAATCCATCAAGATTTTCCTGCGTTTTTTGACACTTAACAGTTCATGAAATAAAAACTGCTTAACCCATGCACCTCAAATTTTCAGGTTAAGTTCTTGATAGTATTTGCGAAGGATTTCTCAGGATGTCTACTAAAACAGGCTGGCCAAAAATCAGCACTTATACAGTGCTTTTCAAGACCAATCCACACAGGTCTGTCATTGCGCATCTTTTTGAGAGCCACTTCCCTGCCCGGCCCTAACTCGGCTGCACTCAATACTACGTCACAATGGGTGCTCCCATAAGAAATACATTGCAAGCACTCAATACTACGTCACTGCGCAGTAGAGTACCAAAACTCGTCCACGGGAATGACTGACCTGTGTGGATTGGTCTTGGTGCTTTTTCAGTACATTCTCAAGAAATTCAGTATATCCTCAACAGAAAAATGCAGTACTTTTTCAGTACCTCCATTCGACAAAATTCGAAAAATTTCAAAAGTTCGAATTTCTTGCTCAAATTGCGACAAAAATGACACAAATTCCGGACCTTCTTGAGGAGTTTCCGCACTTTTCCAGTACTTCCGGACCGCCCCTGAAAAATCAGTACTATTTCCAGACTTGTAGACAGCCTGAACAGATTCCCTGATATTCACGGTAAATTTTCATTCCCTGATGAATCCTGGTTTTTAAAAAACTAGACACCTTGGGTTAGGGCATGAGATTACCTCAGGGTGCTGCCGGGAGGAAGAACTCCTCCTTTGCTGCTGAAGAGAGGTGTCATCGGCACTACTGGTGTTCGTACATTGACTTGACTTCTGGATCGGTTCAATTTGTGGTCAGTGCTTACTTTGGAGGCACTTCTACTCGAAAACCTGGAGTCTCGGTCCACAGAGCTTGATCTTCCATGTCCACCTATACTTGGCTTCGGGATGAAAGAACGTTTCTGCTCTCCTTTTCTGAAAGAAATAAGTAATATTAATGATTTGCAACTTAGGTACTTCGTTCTTGAGACTTCTTCTTGGAATTTGCCTCATGCAAATTTGAATATGTACACAGACAATTTGATCTCATTAAAGCGAGTTAGAATTAAAAAACAGTGATATTTTAATTGCATAGTGAACTCTCAAAACAAGGTCTCTCATTTACTTTTTTATGTGAACGGATCCTATCGTTTGGAGGATCCCTGCTCTCTCCAGTGCTTTGCAGACACATGACTATCATTTCAGGGGAAAAAAAATTCAAAGAAAGTTTTCCTTATGACTACATCTTGTCAGCTTCTGAAAATTACAGCAAAATTATGAAAATTGTATTCTGACACCATCTACACTTCTAAAGATTTTTTTTTATTTTTTGATTTTTTATACTGTAAATTTACTTAATGTTCACAAATTGATCAACCAGCACCAAAAGAAAAAAACACAACACTGTCAAAAGCAAGACACTTGTGCGACAGGTGCAGTACTTAAAATAAAATAAGTTGTAGTTAATAAAAATATACTATCATAAATACTATAGTAGATTATAAAAAAAATATAAGTAGTAGTTAATAAAAATATACAAATAGAGATGATACCACTGAATTAAATTGAATTGCGAACTCAAAAAAGAAACTGTGTATCATGATTGCAGTGTTTCAGAATTTTTCCTCCGATTTTTATTCCAAATAGAAACCATACAACTTCATAACTTGAAATTTTCAGAGAATATTTTATAGAGAGAAAAGTTACTGAAATTTGTAAGAAATTGCAATAGTTCGTTTCCTGAACAATGAAGAGAGTAAGCATAATGGGGAAATTAAGGACATTGCCCAAGATATGGAGTTCCTGATTTAGTCTCCGATTGACCTTTGAAGTTGCTTAGAATGAAAAAAGAAATTGGAACCAACCTGATCGTTTCATTTCCTCCTCTGGCTTCAACCTCTGATAATCGCACAGGTCGCATGGAAGAGGAGCGCCTTCCAAGTGATGACTTAGGCATTTTCGTAGAATATTTTCTGAGAACAGAGGATTAGCTGAGTATAATTATCCTTCCAAGGAAACTCTGTTTACTTAATAGGATGACATTAGCTCCAACCAGAGAGCGTTTTTCTACATATTCTTTCCTCCACAAAAATTTCGACCTGTCAAGCTAAACTTTATCTAAACTCTCAATGAGAGTAATCAGAGATCATTATCATGATCTGAGTACTAAGGTTAATCACCGCATAGATCCTCTGCCTTCGTTATGAAATCGATGGTGAAGAATGAGACCGGATGAGAATCATTGTCTAAGTTTAAGGTGATTCGTCAAGCTCAAGTGACATGGTCGAACTGGCATGCAATATATCGCATCAATTGGGTAAAAAATTTCGGCAGATTTGAATTTTTAGAAAAAAAAAAGGACAATAGCCCCTGCGCATGAGCCTAAAGAATCATTCTAAAACCTAAAAATCGGCAAGGTGGGGTACATTGAAAGTCACGAGGAACTGTTTCTTGAGGTCCTGATTGGCACCATGCAGATGACACTTTTGTTACGAACATATGACGGAGAGACCTTCTTAATTATATTCATTCTGCCTTAAAAACGAGTGGGTGAATCAAATTTAACTGTGCTTCATGAACCGATAAGGTACGACGCTAAATAGGCTCATGTTCTGGCTTGATTGTGCTAGTAACCCAACGAGACAGGGTTTGAGATTGTGAGTTGCTAAAATAATATACTCATGGTGAAACATTCATCAGAGGAATGAACGGGTTTTGACGATGTAAAAAGGCTGTTAGGCTGGTGAGAATTAAAGGAGGGGTGGCTTGTAATGTACTTACCTCGCACCGATGTAAGAGAGGAGACTTGAAGCGTTAGAATTAAATGAGGAAACAATCAAGGTTAGTAGATGAATATCACTTCGTCACAAGAATTAAGATAACCCCGAAACGATATGGGATAGAGATTTTAGGATCATGATAGATCCAGTGATTTTATTTAATCTATAATCTAACAGAAACAGTTATTCAGCATTTGCACTCAATACTGATAATAGGATAATACGGTTTTGTTTACGTTATTTTCCCTCCAATTTCAAATAGTTTCAGTAAACCGTTCCTTGGTAGCAGCACTAGCGCTGCTATTTTTGGAATGCCCTTCCCTCTTCGGAACGTCTCCTGGCAAATTTTTTTTTGTGTTTTCAGCAAGAATCAGCCACTCTTTCTTGAATCTCGCGATGTCGCTTAAAATCACCGGGCAAAAAGTCAGCGAACAGTTCATTCATTCTAGAAATTGTTTTTCTAATTTACATATTAAAGTTTGGAGGGTTAGGAGGGGGGAGGGAGGAGCTCACGTGATGAGCTTTTTTAGTACTCACAAATGCAACTAGAGCGCGCCTTAAGTTCATTAGGAGGACGATTGAACTTCCATTGCTTTCAGGGGCAGGGGATTTCTTCACGGAAAGATCTTTTGTGTGAAGCGTGTGGCTTTATCGAAAGCTCAACGCAGCTACTGTGGTTTGCATTTTGCAGCAAGTCAGCTGTGTGGCCGTGGAAATGTGCATTCGTCTGAGCCCGTGCTCAATTTAAGATCAGGCTCGAAATTTCTCAGTGGTTTTAGACAGTGCAGTGCAGTAAGATACGACAGCACTTTTGCACGAGTGATCAAAGTTAGTGCAATCGGAAATTCTAAAATAAGAATAGAATGTTTACATACTACACAGTGACGGTAGTGCGTTTCGTAAAGTTCGTTCCCGGATTCTATCGATCTCGATGAGAGGATTTGCAATAAATTTCTCGTAAGTAGATCTCCCCATACTTGCTAATTACAGGAAAGAACAAATTATCTCGGTGTTTACTTATCTTGGATACTCGTGGACCTGTTTCAGGCAGTGTTCCATTTCAATCTTAGGTACTAGGGGCAATACTTACTGCCTTTTCTTTTTCTCTACAGACTTGTACTTACAGAACCTGTTTCATGTCTTTTCCAACACCATTATATTTTTCTCATTATATTCCACCAAACTCTTGCATATTTAATTTGTGAGCTTTATATTGATGGTGCCCCCATCTCATGTTGCATATCTTACCTGTTATCAGGCGTGTTCACAAATCACCATTTGCACTCATCTTTCATATTTTGTCAGCAAGCATCTCCTAATAAAACTCAAATAATTTTAGGGTCTGCATGGATTGAAGTCCACTGTTTGGTAAGTAATTATTTTTCAGAAGTTCTTATCCCTTAGACAATAGTCTTTAGTCGTGCGTTTAACCTTAAATTTGTCAGACGCTTGTACTTACGGAAGCGTTTCTGTATTCCAAAAGGTACCTGAACTCTCTAATGGTGTGTATTTGACTTCAGACTGTGAGTTATGCTTCTTAAGTTCCAAACTCTAACTATGTTTATCTTTTCGTGTCCCGCATCAGGTTCTCAAGAATGGAGTAATGTGTTACTAGTCCTCCTCCAGCTAGATTCTTGCAGCTGCACATCCGCTTTTAATCTCGGACAGGTAAGCCACTTTTTACTCTATCGCCTTACGATTGTTTCCTTGCGTGACTTGAAATGACATAACTTATTCATGACCTAATCATGATAGAATGGAAGGACAGTCATAAACTGAGGTAGGGTCGCATACATGCCTGAAACGCATCTTGCTAGTAAAAAGTAACAGAAAGGGAGAGAAGTGAGTTTTTGAATATTCAAATTCATGTTGCACCCATGTTTCAAGACGGACAAATTCTAGGCTCTAACAATCAGCTGTATCTATGAAGGTCCAAGCTGAATCCCCTCATATGTCTATACAATGAGGGCAGTGGAGCAAATCCAAAAATCAGACTTTTTCAATACTAAAATGCTGTAATTAACACAGGATTTCCCCTGCTAGTCCCGTCTTCATGAGTTTCTCTCTCCCCCTTCCATCCTTGTTGGAGCTCCCTCATTTCTCACGCCTGGTGCACTACTGAGCTAGTGGCTTGGTCGAGAAGTTTTTTCACCCCTATATTTGTAGTGAGATACCCTTTCACTGCATTGCTTTTACCCTTTGGTTAAAGTTCCCCAAGTCATTTTGCCCTTTGAATGTCAGAAAAATTAACCTCTCGAAACCAGGACCCTCTCTAATTTCAAGTTTCCCAGATAATGAAAAATAAAATCAACTATACTCACTCATATTTTTTGTTCATTTGGGACTTTATTTGCCTACTCTATATACCATATTTTGTACTTTTCATCTCTTGAACCAGATTTTTTTTTTCATCCGCCATTCAAAGATTTGTATTGCTCCCTTTCACTTTCTCACTCTTCTGCCTTTTCGTTTTCTTTGCTCTATTTTCTCTGTCCTTGTTCCTTTGAGAGCTATTGTAATGAAAAGAAATGTACTTCAGGAGAGATGGAAAAAACGAGGAACGAATTTCATCACAACGATTGATGCAACTATTTGGGCTCCATGGATGTCTGTGTTGCATACCCACGAATTAGAAGGCGTTTGGACTGTCCTGGCACTCGCCATTTCACCCGCGGCCCGCGCGGCGCCAACGACGGACTTTCAAAATGGCAGAGCACTTTCGATTCGAGTATCTTTTTTACTGTAGTTTTGATATTGCGGTGTACTGAGCATAATTATCGTGAAACATTTATTCGTGTCCAAGAGACGTCTTCAAAGTACAAATGAAGAAATGAAGGCACTCTGTCATTTTAGATCCTCGGTGAAAAGCCCGCCGCAGTATGAAACGAGCCTTTCAGAGAGATTGGACCTCAAATTTTCGACTAAAACTGCAAATTTTTATAGCAATTTCTTCACATTGTTAATATCGTCAGCGGTGCTTCTTGGAGGAAATTTTACGAGAAAATCAATGTAACCACTACTATAAAGTCCACGTTCCGTGTCAGCATCGATATGAGTTTTTAATGTTTCCACATTTTGTATGACTACTCTTATTGACTTGCCTCACTGAGCCGCTGGTGAGGCAGTCGCTGTATGAAGTCAAAACGCCTTCACTTTGGTGCGTATGCAACACGGACATCCACGGAGCCCGAATATTTGCATCCAGGCGCTATAATGCAATTTATTCGTTCAGTCCGTCGTAAGCGACACTGACTGGAGCTGCGATTGTATCTCTCACACCCGGACTAATTTCAGCGTTGCCCATTGTGCTGATGAAGTAAACCGTTGCTGAATTTTATCGCGGCATCGTCAATTTTCCGAGAAATGCATTATTTAACAGGGTTGCCTCAGTCAGGGAACACCGGGAAATGTCAGGGATTTTTAAAAACTCAGGGAAAATCTGGGAACGTCCGGGAAAACACTGGAAAAAAAGTCGCTCGGATCTGGAGTCCGGACTCTTATAAACATTGACAAGAAAAAACACCCTTGATTCAATCGGATTTTTGCTTGAGTAAAAAAAAAATCCGCTTAAAGTAAGAGGCTTGGCTTCCGATGTAAGTAAAAATCTGATTGAATCAAGAGTATATTTTCTTGTCAACCTTTTTAAGAGTCTGGGCTCTAGATCCAAGCGACTTTTCTTTCCAGTCATTAATGACGTAAATGTCATGGGAAATGACGAAAATGTCAGGACAAAAGACGAAAATTTCAGGGAAAATCGTTAAAAGTCACCTTTATTTGATTTCCCAAATAGGTGTGACGTTTCGAGCAACAAATTTTGCGTGGAAACTATTTCGAACTGATGATCTGGCATTTGCTCAGTTGTCGCGGAATTTCACCAAAATATGTCAGGGAATATACTGTCTAATTTCTGTACCAACCCTATTTAAATGTACTTCAACTTATAACGTTCCCGGACCTCTAAATTACAAAAATAATTAGGCATCTGAGCATGATATGCAGAGTTTCCTCTAAGTAGCTTCTTTTCATGAGTCGTCCATTGTTTGGACGCCCCCCTCTTCCTTCGGAAACACTAATTTTGACGTGCATGTGCGAAATTTTCAAGGAAAAATCCTGATGATTCGCACGGAATTTTGAAACAAGAGTTATTCTGCCGTGCTAGGGAAAAACGCCGTATGAACCTTCAGGCGCTGCCAAATTTTCTTCGATAAAACACGAATTCCCTAGTATACTTATAAATATTTGTCTTCCAATTTTTCTGAGAATATCCATTGTATTTTGATCTAAAGTCCCTGAAAATTTCAAGGAAGAATATTCATAACTTTCCTCAAAAATGAAAATTTTATCAAAGGAATTTTGCCAATCCTCGAATGTTCACACGGCGTTCTTCCTTAGCACGTTCGTTTTTCGAAACAATGAAATGAGGCAGGAAAGCTGGAACCAAAATCCACGTGTATGATTTCCCAAATGCAATGGCGGAACGAAATACCTAGGAAGTCTGGTATATAAATGAGGGAAAATTATATTATGTCCTGCTCGTACTCTCCTGAAAGGTGCAGTGGCGTGGCGTGCTTTGCGAAATATCGATTGTTATGCCATTTAGACCTATGGAAAAGGATCGATAGACAGGGTGTTCGCAGCGAACACTTTGATAATCGATTCTTTACCATAGGTTTAAATGGCATAACAATCGATACATCGCAATTCACGCCACGCCACTGGAAAGGTGGGCTGCGGTCTAATGATACATCGCGTCTTAACGCATTCGTAAACTCATTTCATGCGGATTGATACGAGGCAGGACCAGATTAAGGGGGTGGCCACATGGGCCGCGGCCCATGGCGACAAAATTAGGGGGCGGCAAATTTTGCAATTTTTTTAAATGCAGGTACAAAAAAATCGGATTCAGAAAAAAATTACAAACAAGAAAAGGTGGCAAAATCTCTCATTTCCGGAGAGTTCATTAATTTCTAATTTTGTCATATTTCGGTGATACAAAGGACTGCGCACCTTTAATTAGTTGAGTTAAGAGAGAAACCAAACACGTAATTTGGCCTGGAGCGGCGCGGCGCAAAGAGAAACGATGACGAGGACTTGAGATGAAAAGGAGAAGCCCTCGACGCGGCGGTCGGCATGTAACACATATTAGCGCCTACGAGACTGCATGAATACTTCACGCATTGCGTCAAACACAGTACGGTCAACAGCGGTCGACGCGGCGTGAAACGCACAGTGCCTACAAGACTACATGAATACTTCACGCATTGCGCCAAATACAGTGTGATCAGCGTGGCACGGCGGCGGAAGTTGAAATTATTAAACCACATTTATGTTTGTTCTTTTTTCATTTTTTAGTTCATTTCTTACAAATGAAAGGCCTTGTCCCCACAGAGAAAGGTTTACGGAACTGAACTTTCGCGCGAAGTTCCGTGAACTTTTGCTAGTAGTGTTGACAGGGCTTACGCAAAAAATGTGTCCAACACGAGTGAACGCGTCTTATGCACCCTTCTCCCTCCGGCACGTTCACTTGATGGTTTTTATTGATGTTTCAAATGAATGAGAAGAGGGCGGCAAAATACAGGCGGGCCACGGGCGGCAAGTAGGTAAATCCGGCCATGATACGAGGCACGCAGTTCTTGTAGTAGTTACAGTATTTTTAAATCAAATTCGCTTAAAGTAAAACATTAGGTAGAAAAAATCATCGAATAGTCAGGGACTTTGATGTTCAAAAACCGCGAAAAGTCATGGAAAAGTCAGGAAATTTTGAAATCATATGATAGCTTGTCACCCAGGTCGGTTAACCGCACCCTCGCGCTCAATATTCTTTCTTTCTTTCTTTAACAAGTAGTCCAAACTAGACTGAGAATTGGTCACACACATTTTTCCCATAGCTATTTGATGACCCAATCAAACCGTCCTGCTTGCACTTCTTGTCCAAATTCCCCCTTAACGGTAGATCACGTTCTTATAAGTTGCCCACTTTATAAAGATATCCGAAAACGTTTTTTTCCCTACCCCTTACCCTCTCTTAAAAATTTACTTCTGAATACTCATCCTGTGAAACTTTTTGAATTTATGCGCTCCACTAATCTCAAAATTTAACCTTTCCCCTCAACCCTTTTGTATTTTTACTGATATTTCCATGTAAATTTATTACTGTTACTGCCCTCTTTAGAGGTGTAAATGACCTTAGATGCTAAAGCACCGCTTTAAAATAAAAGTATTTTACTACTACTACTACTACTACTACTACTACTTTCTTTCTTTCTTTCTTTCTTTCTTTCTTTCTTTCTTTCTTCTTTTTTTTTTGGTGTAGGTCTGTAGGTACCTATTTATTTCTTCATTTTTTTAAATAAATAATTGGTTTACCTACATTCTCTTTCCCTTTCACGTGCTCACTCGGACGGAATTGTTCGGACGTTGGAATAAAAAAAAAAAAAATAATAATGAAAACATCATATTCTTATAAAAGTCAAGGAATTTGATGTTCAGAAACCCTGGGAAGTCATGGAAAAATCAGGGAACTTTGAAGTTCGAGAATGCGTGAAACCCTGGTCGCGTATCGGCACACTCGTGCTTTTTTTTTTTTTTTTTTTTTTTTTTTTTTTTTTTTTTTTTAATCATTACTATTTAATTTGTTTACATTGTTTTTCTTTCTACGTTCTCGTTTG